GGGGGGGGCGGCCGGCTCGGCCTGGACCGGGTCCGGCGTGGAGCCGTGGCCCGGAGGGGGGGAACGGGCCCCGTCTGTGGCCCCGCCCCCGCCAGAGGAAGAGGAGCTCTGCACAGGCGCGGGGGGGTCCTCCGCCTCCCCGTCCAGCTTCGGCCCGTCGGGGGGGGGACTGGCCCGCGGGGACTCCAGGGACGGCGCCGGAGAGGCCAGGGCGGCGGGCTCTACGGCGAGAAGCTGTAATTGTGCTCCAGGCGGATCAGCGTCTGGAGACGATCCCTTCTCCTCCAGTCCACCACCTCCCCTTCTTCCACCTCCTCCTCCTCCTCCTCCTCCTCCTCCTCCTCCTCCTCCGGGCTCGACGGGTCCCGGGTGCTCTCGCGCTCGTCGTCCGCTGCTGCTATCCGGTAGCCCAGCAGCAGGCCGCAGCCGGACACCGGCCGGCGGTGGGCCGTCGCCAGAGGCCGCAACAGCAGCAGCGGCCTCGCGCTGGGCCCGGGCCTGTTGGGCCCGGGCTTTGATGTCTGCCAGGGTCCGGGCGCCCCCCGTCCCCGTCCGCCGCGAGCCCTCGCCGGGGGGCACGATGCGGGGGCAGATCTGGTAGGTGGGGTGCCCTTTGACCCAGGGAGGTTTGATTCTTGATAGTTGAATCTAGGAGAGAGAAAAGGAGCAGGGGTCAGGGGGTCAGGCTTTGCCGGACAGCGGCCTCAGACTACAGGGTCTTACTCCAGAGCCTTACCCGGATAGGTGGCACCTTGGGTTCTTCGGTTGTCGGCTGCGGCTTCTCTGCGCACACGCTGTCGATTGTGGTACGAAAGGACTGACGGTCGTCAAGTCGCGGCCGTTTCTCGGGAAAGCTGGAGAGCGCCTGGGCCTGCTCCGGCCTCCTCTTCTGCTCCTTGAGCTGGCCGCTGGGGGCGGGGCTGGCGGAGGGACTGCTCTCCCGGCTGCTGGTGGCCGTCCCGCCCGTGATGGAGGTGACCACCGAGGCGGTGTCGTCCAGCGGGTCCGCGGGGATGGTGGCGCTGGACGAGGCCGAGGAGGAGGAGGAGGAGTCCAGGCCGGCGCCGAAAGCCCCCCTTCTGTCCGGGGAGGAGGGGGAGGACGCGGGGGAGGAGGCGGAGGAGGAGGAGGAGGTGGAGGAGGAGGAGGAGGACGGGGAGGTGGTGGAGGCCAGCGCGGGCTCCGGCTCCTTGGGCAGCAGGTGGGCAGCCATCTCCGCCTCCTCGTTGGCGCTGGTGGAGGCCGGGCTGGGGCTGGGACTGGGGGCGGGGCTGGGGCTGGGGCTGGGGGCGGGGCTGGGGCTGGGGGCGGGGCTTGGGGCGGGGGTGGGGGCCGGCGTGGGGACCGGCTCTTTGGCGGGGGAGGCTTTGGGCTCGCCCTCGGCGGGGAGCTCGAAGCCGCAGTCCGCCTGGAGCACCACCTCCCCGTGAACCACCGTTTCTTTGCAGAGGGGGGAGTCGGCGGCGGGGGGCTCCGGGGCCTCGGCGGGCGGCAGGGCGGCCGCCGGCTTGCAGAGGGTGCGGCGGGCGCGGCGCCGCAGGTCGGCCCGCGTGCGTCTCCTCATCCGGCCGTCCCGGCGCCGCCGGCCCACGCTGCGCCTCTTGGGGGCGCCGCCGGACACCACCGCCACGTCGCCCTCCAGCACGCTGCCCGCCACCTCTGCGGCCTCGCTCATGGTCAGCTTCAGGGACTCCTCCCGGGTCAGGCCAGACCTACGCAGACAAAGCACAAAGCAGCACACGCGGTGAGGAAAACAGACCAGCCAGGACCAGAGGCTCTGGGCCCAGTCCACTGAGAGGACCTAAACAACCACAGCTACCAGTCCAAGTACAGCAGAACCTCTACTGACAATGGCCTAACATACACATTTTCCAACATCCAAAGTGAAATTCCATCAAATATTCGACTCTACGCCCAAAGTAAATTCACAACATTTCCAACTGCGTATGACGTCAAAGTCATAGAAAAATGTTTTACATATAAAAATGAAATAAAAAGACTCAAGCTAAGTTAGTTTAAAGTTAACGTGGTTAAAGTTAGAGTAAGTTAGGGTACGTCCTGTATCTCAGTCTCCACCTCTACCTCCACACCCACCGTCTCCTCCATCGCTATGCCTACACCTGTTCACCAATAAGTGCCAATGAAAACCCTATTATTGATTATTTCTTTATAATTAATTTATTTTTACATCTCTCTTATATAATGCATTTGTTTTATTGCTACGTGTAATTATCTGCAGTATTTATTAAGGAGTTATCGTATGTTTTTGGAACCAATTCTAGGAATTACAGTGTATTCTGATGGAACAAATTGAACCAACATACCAATATTTAACATGAGAAGTAGATCTTGGAACCAGTTAAACTGCCATGTAGAGGTTCTACTGTACTTCAAATAAAACATTTCAAAGTAACCAATTGGCTCTTACTTTTGACCATGGTACTCCTCAAAGAACTTCTCCTTCCATGCCTCTACTTTCTTCTCCTTTTCCATTTCCTGTCGGAATCGCACCTGCATCTCGTGGGTGAACTCGCCTACAAAGGTTTAAAGCAGTGTTGACAGTGAGACATGAGCAAGGAACACATACAGCATATGACCACCCTCTCTTCTCCTCTACCCTTCCATCCATTCACACACAGTGGCACATTTATTCCCTGTCAGGTTTGCAGGATTTGGCTGGATTGGTTCACTCAAAACAATAAAAAATAAAAAAAAAGACGTCTGCTGGCGTCACAATCAGACGACTAAAAATAGGTCATGCAACTTCAACTTAAAGCAACGCGGTTCAGGTGTGAGCTCCATGATTGACCCATAACTCGCCTTCGGCTAGCCTCTCTTTCCAGCTCTGGGAGGCGTGGGTGAAGAATTCATTGTTTAGGGCCGAACTGCTGAGCCTAGCCATGCCATCGGGTCCAACCTACGGGTTCAAATAAACACACACAAAGGAATGATTAGGCTCTAACTGACAAAAATAAGGCTTTTTCAGAGGGATTTGGCCAGGGACGGTGCCTCAGATGGTAGAACATTTCAAACAAAGCCGATTCAGAACGTGACATGGTTCCAAAAGGGCTAAATGTGGGCGGTGCCAGAGGCCCGGGGCGGGGGGAGACGGCTCACCTGCCGGTCCACCTCTGGCAGCAGCTGCAGCAGCTGCTGCTGCGAGTGGGACGGGAAGGCCGAGAACGTCCGCACGTTGATCAGAGCTCGGATGTTGGTGTTGACCAGAATGGAGCCGGGCGTCTCAAAGTCCACATCCACCCCCCCTCGACTCCTCTTCATGGGCCCTGCAACAGCAAACGCCTCTCACTCAGCAAACAGCATCAGCCCGTTTCAAACGGAGAGCTGTGCATGTTAAAGGGTGTCTTTTTTTTTATTCTAAGGGGGGAAATGGGCAGCATATCACGTTACAGGGCATGGGCAGGGAGCCTTGTTTTGTTCTTTGTGTCCTTTTAGAAACGTTATCTCTCTGAATCAGAAATCTAAGCCAGGGACTCCGGCGCTCTGCGCTGGTTGCACAGACTAAGGCTGCCCTTGTGTTCGTCCAGGTTTGAGCATCTGCACTTCAGCCAGACCACCATCTCCACTATAACGCTACCTGAGGGGACATGTTCTCCGTTGACTTTGAGCGGAGTTAGGACGACGCGAGGCATCATGACGGCTTTCTTCCTCTGTCTTCCTGACTGCAGAAACACAAGATGGAGGGCTGGGTCAGCGTAGTCACAAAGCTTCTTGGGAAAAATGTTCATTTAGCCTGTTATTTGCAGTTATCTCTGCAGCGAGCGTGCAGGGGAATGCCTGCGCGGGGCTCACCTGTCTGGAGCGGCTCAGCCTGGTCTGGGTGTGCGGGGCTGGCTGTGTGTCCGTGCGGCCCTGCTGGCCCGACGCCCTGCTGAGGCGGGTCTGAGGCTGGGTGCTGGGAGTCTGCGGCTCAGTGGAGGCACTGGAGGAGCTCTCATCCACTGATGCTGCAGGGAGGAGAGGAGGGAACACATATAAAGTAGGGTTGTCAAAAGTATCGATACTCAAAAAAGTATCGATACTAAAATGTTGTATCCTGATACAATAGTCATTTTCAAAAGTATCGATACCACCCCCCACCCCCACCCCGCGCGCAACGCTGACCTGCCGTCGCTGCACCCCTTCTCTCTTATTTATTTATTTATGCATTTATTTACGTTGTTTATGACCATTAACAAGACGTTGGCCTTGAATTGCTAGCTGCGGCTAATGGCTAATAATAACACGGCAACATTAATCAAATACGTCTGGCTGCAAACTCCACCCACATCCAAGTCGGCCATTTTGATTATGTCACCAATAGGATGATTCCAGGCAAGAAAATCGTAATTGCCTCATGGCAATAGAGACATTAATTTAAATATGGTGAAATTAATCTTTCAAACACTTAATTAAACTATATACATATTATTATGTTAAAATAGTGGATGTTAAATAGGTTTGTACAATAAGTCCAAACAGGTTTAACCAAAAAATATTTATTTCTCACATCTATGAAGGGTGGAGGGTTAGGGTCAGGGTCAGGGTCAGGGTCAGGATTAGGGTCATTAATGCCGGCCACCACTCCCGATAACATCAGTAACAGGTCAGTTTGAAATGAAAGACACTAACCTGTCAAAATTCAGTTAAATTTTAGGGTCTTTGTTTTTATCCTTGTGGTATCGAAAATGGTATCGAGTATTTTCCTGAGTATCGGTATCGAGTTGAAAATTTTTGTATCGTGACAACCTTAATATAAAGTCATGCTAACGTCAGCAGAAGGAAAATGGATTTAGTCAACATTACACTTTAGTCCTGGACAAGATCTGTGAAAAACATGGCCGGAACGAACAAATTATGAAGCAGCATGGTTTAGAGTACAGCTGCATCAGTAATGTCCGTATCATTCAAAAGAGGACAGGTTCATGACCGTCTAATCCAGAGGTTCTTAACCTTTGTTGGGGTACCAAAGCCACCAGTTTCAGATGCCCATTCACTGAACCCTTCTTTAGTGATAAATAAAGTAGATTATTTTTCCAAATTCAAGACATAAGTATATGTTTTGTTTTTTTACTGGTGCACAAAATGAGCTGTACATGAACATCACCTTGCTCAGAAACCAAAACCAAGACAGTGCATCAACTCACAACAAATTACCATATTGCTTTTTTCTGGCCCCCAAAAATCATTTTGGCCCAATAAAAGAAGTTCAGCCCCCCAAAATATATTTTTTTTAACCGTTTTACTAATTGAAACTAAATTTGGATTTTTTAAAGAATTTAACATTTTTTAATAACTTTTTTAAATCTAATTTAATTTTAGTTTTGCCGGTGCAAGACTAGAGTTGCTCAACATGGCATTGCATCTCATGCAGACAGGACCCTGACTCCCGTCCCGTTGTCCATATTCGTCCGAACACTTTATTTTTTTGCAGGACATATTTAGCATGGATTAAAATATTTAGAGAGAAACCACACAACGTACGACTACAACAGCCGCTGACCACTGCAGGCGCTAAATTTCCCTGCAGCCCTGATTGGCCGAGCAGTGTCACGTGATCCTCTGTGACGGCCCAGCGGGACGTCATCACCACTTTACACAAGTGTGTCTTTACCTCCACCAAACCCCTGAGACCCACCCATCCAACCCCGAGGGTTCCACAGAACACAGGCTGAGAACCACTGGTCTCAACAAATATCCTCCTGGAACCTTTTCTTAAAGCAGTCTGAGGTCCAGCCGAGCTGCAGACGCTGCTTAGCCTCCTGTGAGGGCTGCCAGCAGATGAAAAACTTGATTTCAATGTCTGTTTTCTATATCATTTGGTTACCATGTGACTTTTTAAAGGAAGATCCTGTCCAGTGGTGGTGACTACCAACCCCTGCTGTCACATGAAGACACGGGTAGTTATTCATCCTGTGGAATTCTTCACTTTATCATCCGCACTGTTTCTGACACGACTCAACTCTCGTCTTAATTTGGGAGAGTTATTCTGGGTCTTTTTGATACTAACTGGGTTGGAATTCATAGGGTTAATGCATGCATGCTTTTCCTATGTGGTAGAGAGTGGGCCCACGCCTCCATTTCCCTCCTCTGTGGGAGTGGAGCGTGATAATGCTCATGGGCTACTCTGCTACTCTGACCCCCCCGGGGCCGTGCAGGGGGCAGCCTTACCGTCGTTGTCTACGATGGCTGTGACGATGGTCTCTGTGGAGTCGCAGCTCTCCTGCTCGTTGGTCTCGTTGGAGTCCACGGGGGCCACGCCCGACTCGGCCACCTGGCCGCCGGCGCTGGAGGATGGAAGGGTGGCCACACCGGCCGTTTCTGATGGAGCCTCTGACTCTGAGGTGGCCTTTGTCCACTGGAGGGCGTTCTTCTACAGAAGCACAGGGGTAGCCGGTTGTCAGAAACGGTCCTCAGTGGACTCGAGCGGCCACTAAGGACTAATCTTTCGATTAGTCGACTGATTTTAACGGTTAATTTCCCTCCCAAAAATCAAAGGATTTCTATTTCATTGGAGTTTTTATTTTCAACTTAATTTTGAGCTTTTTATTTTGCAACTCAAGGGCCAAAACATAAAATGTCACCAGTGTGTCAAATGTAAACACAATATAAATAAACACTGAATAAATAAAACTGAATAAATAAAAAAAGTGCAAAATGTAAGAATGTCTATTTTACAAAAATAACATAGCATTCAAGTACCATAAAAATGTTGCATAATCCTATTAGTATAAAAGGAAATATATAAACATCAACAGAAACCTATTCCTTATTGAACTTCCAGTCACAACAAATAACAAATAATTGCATTTTGAAGCATCCTCAACAACTCCTGTGCGTTTCCTTTTAAGGTTGTGCTCCTGTGATGAGCCAACAAAGTCTGACAGTGTACAAACCATTCTATCACCGGCTGCCCTAAAGTATCCCATACTTTGGATGTTTTTGGTCCTGATTCAGACTCACTGGCTGTTGCCATTTTCTTATATAAAGCCGAACCAACAGCAACAGAAGCTTATGAAAGCGCTCAGGGAAACTAGTGGTGTGGAGCCGACTCACCTGAACTCAGATGAGCCGTTTGCTCAGACCAAAAACAAATAGGCAATAAACAGCCTGACAAAAAAAATGGTGATTGACGAAAAAAAAAAATCCGTCGACAAATTTTCATCATCGATTATCGCGGCAGCACCACAGTGGACTGGGATGTGCACTGGGAGGGGATTTCTACCCTAAAACAGCGAGCTGGGGCTAGGGTTGGTCTTTCTGGGGTGTGTAACGGCTCTGCCTCTGCGGATACGCTCAGTGTGGGGCAGTAGAAAAAAACTGAGCTCTACAGCTGCAACGGGCTCTACCCATCCCAAACGCAGTCTGCATCCAGGGCTGTTAACACTAACCCACCATACAAGCGCAGTGTTTACCGTCAGTAACTGGCTCAGAAATTCTGGCTGAGTACCTTGAGAGTGAAAAGGCTCATTCGTCCGGGGAGCTTGAAGAAGATGCTGTTCTTGACTCGGTCCCCCCTCACTTGGGAGTGAAGCATGGTGACCAGGCAGGCCAGGGGAGCTGTGCCACTGTGGAAACACACACAAAAACACACGCACTGAGAACACTGGCACGGTCCAACTCAACTGAATCAATGAGCACAGAACTGCTACGGCGTGGCTTCGGCGGGTGGGGTGAGAGGTCCAGTTATAAATAATAAAATACACAGAGAAAGGAGCAGGTGGGCCCAGATGATAGGAGAAATCTGTGCACGTACCTTCTGTTAGGCGACAGCAGGCCACGGCGTTCATGGAGAAAAAAAACACAGGTTAGTAAAGAATGCACCGATTGACAGCTTTTTCTGATGTGTCGTTCTTCTGACGACGGGGGGGGGGGGGGGGTCTCACCGCATTTCCTTCAGCCCTTTGGTCTGGATCACATGGAGAATCTGTTTGGGAGTCATGGGTGCATCAGAGAAGTTCTCCAGAACCTGAAAAGCAGGATGTTGGAAGCAGAAATTCAAGCACAGAACTTCTGAATGAGAATAATTCATTCCAGCCAGCATCCCCGAAGCTGTGAGCGGAAACAGGAGCAGCCACACACAAAAAAACTAGCCGGGTCGAGTAGAAACTAGTGGAAAAAGGGCCCAGAGCCAGGTCTCTCTGGAGCGGACCTGGAACTGACAGACAGAGGCCAGTAATACAGACAGAGCGATGTCCAGCACAGCTTCAGAGGCTGACAGCTGGCGGTCAGCCCGGACAAAGCCAACGACCACTGGAGGACACACACGGGTCAACCGTGGATTATGAGACACTTTTGGTACTGAACCGAACACCTATGTTTACTTCTTGTGATGGCCCTGCTCTCTGGGCCCAACACAGGACAACTGCAGCCTGGCCTGAGTCTAGACAGCACCACCCGAGAGAGGTGAGGAGTCAAGAGAAAAGAGAAAGAACAGGGCTTAAAGCTCATCCAGCTGCCCTCAGTTCTGCACCATAAACAGAACCGGTCGGCATCTAGTCATGAGTCAAAGTGGAGAGAGGGCAGGGCAGGTGGGAGGGGTCCCTGTACTGATACCACTGGGGGGAAGAGTCACACCCAAACAGCCCTACTTCATTTGGGCTGCCATAGCAGAACCTGCCATCTAACCAATCCTGCTGTCCTCAACTGACTCCCCAGCACCAGCCTGACGTGTGGAGGAAAGCTTGTGCAGGAGAGTGGCTAAGGCTGTGACCAATTGGGAATTAATACAAAACAAAAAGCCTGCTCAATACAGGTACCCAAAAATGACCATAGACTGTATAGTGAGAATAAATGGCATTCCATTAAGCCAAAACTAGCTACAAATTCCCTACAGTATTGTCCCACAACCCTCATATTATTCCAGTTGGAGAAGTCTCTGCACCAGAATCACCAGAACCGTCTGGCACCAATCTGCACCTTTAACCCAGACGGTCCAGAGCTGGGACATTACTGAGATGTGAGCTGTCCAGAGAGGCCGATGGCACGAGTGGACCCCAATGCGACGCACATCGATTAAGGAGTCCCACACAACCAAAACACTCTTTTTACTGAAGACTTTCTCAGAATACGCCCTGCTCCATGGATTAGCTGTTTCTTTTTAATCAAGTATTGCTTTTAGTAAAAACCTCAACATGCAATGCTTAAAGTGAAAGTGGGCCTTTGTCAGTCTGTTGTGAACCAGCAGGACCATGTAGCCCCTGAGCCCAAACCCTTTTCCCATGGTCCTGACCACCGGTGGACGGGTGCTGGTAACACCTCACGATAGTCCTGCGTCCTTCTTGGGTCTTCTTTTTGGTCCGGTTTCGTTGAAGTTAGACAGGCCGTTCATTCTCATGGACCGCTACCAGTGAGGATACTCACAACAGTAGTCCCCAGCTAACCTAGCTGTTAGCTCCCATACGGTAATGTGCATCACAAACCTTTGCATTTGCAACGACCCCTACAAGCAGGCGTCTCATCCACGGTGTGCGTGGACCAGGTTCATTGATACTGTTGGGTCCTCACACCATCCGGACAAACCAGTCGTTTCTTTGGGGCTACTCGGGGTCGACCCGACTGTGATAGGCGTTAAGCTAGCGAGCAGCTAGCTGCCTAGCAAACAAAGAGCTCAGAGCTGCGTCGGTGGCTACGGCGCTAGCGGGCATCAGCATGTTGCATTACGCCGAGCCTCACGCCAGGAAAATAAAAGCGTAAAACGCTCCCGCCCCGCTGCCTTCGTACCCAGCAAAAAGCCGACTATCGGCCGGGTTAACGCACAAATTCGTAGCGCTGAGCTGCTGATAGCTAGCTAATATGAGAGCAGAGCCCAGTGTGTGGTCGTGAGGAGAATGTCCAAACACACCAACACACTTCGACCCCGTCGCTCCACACCAAACCACACCACATTCAGCCTTTGTGCAGCTAATTCACAGCAGAAACGAAAGCCTACCATGCGAGCCGCCTCAGCCCAAGTCCGCTCCTTCTTTCTCTTTTGTTTGTCCTTCATTTCCTCTGCGTTGCCTTCTGCGGATAGCCTGCTGCTGTGTGACTACAAAGCAACCCAATATGATGGCGGTTTTAGCTGCGGAGCACCACGGCTAACTGGGTTTCAAGTTAGCTACGTAGACCTGACACAAGGCGTTGCTTTAGCCCTGGGTGACGCTATTGTTTTGTAGATGCCGCTAACGTGTGCTGCATGGACTAAAGTAGCCGTACACACATATCGTGTCGCTGACTGCAGGGCTAGCTGTGGTGCTGCTGCAGGACGAGCCACTCTGGAATGCAACAACCAGGTCAGAGGTCAAATCCTCCGCAGGAATGCGAGCAGGCCGGTCCACCCTTCCGCCTGAAAATAGTCCCTCTGAACACGCTGCTCCCTTCTAACGCGTGATTAAATACTCTCACGGTTTATAGAGACCTTTCCATTTAGCAGTAGAAAAAAAGATTCCACGGCATATTTACTCCATAAACGTGAACAGAAATTAATCACACATTTTATTTTAAATGTTTAACACATGTATATATGTACAGGCAAATTATAACAATAATAAATGAACAATTCATGTAAAAGAGAAAAAAATAACATTGTGGGTAATTTGAACATCTGTGTGTGTGAAAAATAGCTCACAAAATACGAATAAATGGCAAAGATAATACACTTTTTCAGACTGAAAATAGTATTTCTTACCAACTCACCTGCGTGCACATCAATAAGCTCTCCCTGGGTTTGATCCTTTAGTTTGGATTATGTCTTCTGATTTATGCCATAGCTGTCTTAGGTTGTTTTCTTATATTCATAATGAAATTTGAGTTAAACTTAATCACATTTCATTGATCCCAACGTTTAAAACGATTTTAAAGTTGAAACATTCCTACACAGTTAATTTTTTCACAGTGTATAAAGGTAATTGTGTACAGTTACTGCTGTGGGGCCGCCTGTATTGCTTTTAGTGTAAGCTCAGTGGAAAATCTTTGTAAGAAATTCCCTATATGTGGTGCATTGCATTGCAATTGTTTGTTTCTTGTTGTCAACAGGACAGAGAGATTAGTCCTAGTTGAACTACTTGTAGAATGATAAATGTAGAGAGAAAAGCCTGAATTACAGATGTGTGACGCTACATATCACCTTGCCACATATTTAATCAAACACTTGCTTATAAGACCAAAGGAGCACATATCTTTAAATGTATTTGTTCTTAAGGTGTTACACAGTTTATGTCTTTTATTATAGTTCTGATTTGGAAGAATTGACACTTTTGATGGTATTGATAGTTTTGATTATGAAGGATTTAACTACAACTGGTGTTGTAGTTGAATGGTAAACACTCTTTTTGTACCTAGCTTTGGATAAAAGCGCCTGCTAATTGCATAAATGTAAATCAGGTGTTTGGTTTCGTATTTCATTATAGATTTTTCACAAATTTTGTTCAATTGCAATAAAAATGTATTTATTAGACAATACAAGTTACAGTATATCTCCAAAAGTTGTCAGCCCTGCACACTGGATGAACGGTGGTAAGATTTAGAAGAATTTTTGTGACAATATTGAATTCTCAAAATGGTATTTATTATCCCAAATATCAAGCACAAAAGTATTACAATTACCTTCTTTCTGTCACCCTGGGGGTAGTAATAATTAAGTCTTACACTTTAGTGGAACAATCCTGACATCCTTCTAAAAGATTGTAAACAACTGGTGTTTAGAACATATAATCAAATATAAAAAGGACTGTACCACTTGCTTCACTAACTTTACAGGTGCAACAAATGATTAGAGGTGTTGTTGTGACAAGAGTAAGCACATATGAGACAAATAAAGTACTAAAACAAAACTGAGAAACAAAACCAGAAACATAGAAGTTAGAAAGGAACTCAAAAACCAAGAAATAACATCGAAACACACTTGGGGCTTGTGAATAGGGAAGGAAACCACAACGAGAATAAGACACAGGAAGCTCACTGAGGCACAGGGAGACAAAGCACATAGAAACTGAAATAACACTAAAGCAGGAACAACTGGAAACACAAGGAGGGAACTAAATCTAAGTCCAGAACCCAAACTCATACCAGTAAGGTCTGGGTCACAGCCGGCCTGAACAGGCAGCACTGGTAGTCCCCAGAGTAACTCTTTATGTTTCTGTGATGGTCAAAACACCAGTTTGTAGTCGCTCTTTAACTCAAATGGTATTTGAACATTAAAACAGAATTAAAGCTCCTCCTGATACCGGATGCTCTCTGACACAAAGGCAAAGACACACGTTGTCCTCAGTGTATTTGGAGTCTGTTGTAGAGAGCCGTATTTCCAACATGGGCCAGGAAAGAAAGTTAGCAGCAACAGATCTGAAGGAACAGAGACAGAAGAAAGACCACTGCTGATCTTCAGTCAGAGATGATCAGAGTTTGAGAAAGTCTCCAGAAAGACTGATAAGGTAAGCCTTAAACGGATGAAGAGCTGCTAAGAAGCCGTTTCTGAGGCCTCCAGACATGCACCAACACCTGAAGGACTGGAGCCAAGGCAAAGTCCATGTGGGATTCAGGAGATTCAAATACTGATCACACAAAAGTTTTATCCAGAGCAAGTCTGTGGGAACAGCTGTAAACTCTTAATACAACTCAATTACAAGAGGAACAGTTGGAAATGAGATTTTAACAAATAGAGGAGGATAGGTGGCTGTTATCAAGAGAAAAGAGGTGACGTTTAAGCTGATTCTGAGAGGAAAAGGAGGGAAAAAAACACAGGAGGATTGGAAGCTGTTATCAAGAGCAAAGAGATGACATTTAAGGTTTTTCTGAGAGGGGGAAAAGAACATTTAGCTGCTTCACTTTGCTACTTATGAGATAAATAACTAAATAATCATAAAATTGTTTATTTTTAGCAGTTTTTGAAAAGATTTCCGAAAGAAATATGTTTGGTGTGACACATGTGCTTAAACTGAGATGAAAACAATCATAAATAGTTGGGTCTACGGAGGCCGGGGGGTGCCATTTTCAGAACGGGAGGAGGACTCCATACGCTGGAGTTCCTCTGAGCTCGAGGCCGTGACGTCACCCTCCCAGAATGCATGGCTTCCAGCGCGGCGCCCAGCCGTCCCGCAGGCCCCAACTCCAGAAACATTTTAAAGGCTTCCGAAATGTCGACGTGGAGACCGAGAGGAGACTGGGCACTGGGCAGGACTGAGGCGCGGTCGGTGAGTACTGCCGGGCTTTCGCCCGCCGGCCCCGGCCGGACTGCTCCCGCTCGCTGGAAGTCGGCAGCTCGCTCCCCCAGAACAAACTCCGAAACAACTTGGTGAAGCGTTCATCTTTTGTTTTTTTTCCTGCCGTGCGGCCCCTGGTAACCCCTCTCGTTTTTTTTTGGGTCGACTTCGACACCAACGCCGGTGTCGGGGTCGCTGGTCCCGGATAGTAAAGCAGCAGGCGTACTCTCACCGTACTCTCAGAAGTGGGTCCACACGGGCAGGCTAGCAGCGAAAAGTAGCCCGAGTCGAGCCGCTCACACGGTCTCTCCGGGGCCGTTTGGCCCCACGGAGCCGCTGCTCCTCTGCCGGCTCACCGCCGGGCAGACTTTTCAGAGAGGCTTCCAGAGCCGGAGAAGCGCGGGCCGGCTCTGGGCTCCTGATGCCCGGCCACGGGGGCTCTCCCCCCGGGGTGCATAGCTGACAGGACGGGGTGGCTCCACGGAGAGCAGAGATGCTGTTCAAACCCACGAGGGAACACGCTCCGTGGGGCTGGCCAGACGTGGTTTAAGCCCATCTGCAGTCCAGTCCACGAATGTGCTTCTCCTTGTTAAGATCTTACAGAGTTTGGAACCAGACAGGCTTTAAACTCAAAGGATGAGCCAGTGCTGTGGGAGCTAACTTAATTCAAGATGAATAAATTCTTTGAGTCCAGTTTAAAATACGCCGCACTCCTAAAAATGTTGCTAAAGTTCGTTGGAATGAGTCTAACTTTGGAAGGACACACGTCTGAAACCTGGCAGATTCTTAGTTTGTGCAGATTCACCACACTGCATTCACATTCACACCATGCTTTGTGATCTTTTACTTTTTTTCACAAGTATGCATGTATAATATATGTGTTTAATGATACTAAGAAATGGCCAAATCCCCCAGAAAAAAAACTTTTCCCCCTCGGCTTGACATGTATAACGGCAAAACACAATATTAACCTTTTAGTATCAATTAAAAACACGAAAATGTCAAGTTGTGATATTATAACGTTATACTTAAGTCATACCTTAAGTGAAATGCAGCTACTAAAAGGGGCCTGTTCAGTTTGAAACTCAAAACAGCAAAAATAAAGTCTAATAAAGCAGCCATGACAAGAGTTGGGTTGACACAAGGAGCTAAAAGCGAGGCCTCTCTCCTGTGACAGACGGGCTGCATTCGGTCATTTGGATGCTGCAGGACATTATTTTCATTACCATTACACCTGTGGTTTAACATTACACCTGTGGTTTCTCTGTAGGGTTGGTAATGGACAGCAGGATGTGTCATCGGCTTGTTTCTCTGTCCCCCCCCTCCTCAGGTCTGTGAAGATGAAGAGCTGGCTCTGTGTCGCTGAGCTGATCCGGGCTGCCGAGTTCTGAAGCTACAGGAGTCCCCCCCCCCCCCCCCCCCCGGACGCAGCCCCCCCCCCACTGGACCCCTCCGGACCCCCCCCCCTCAACGCAGCCCTGTTGGGGTTGTTATGGCAGCTGTGGTGACGGGACACAAGCGCTGGACACAGGCTAGCCCGAGAGAGGCCGGGCGGACGGCAGCGTCCGGCAGCCAGCCCGCGCCCGTCGCCCGCACGCTCTGAGCTCGCCGCGGGGGGGTTGGAGATCCGCAGCCGGGTCTGTCCCCATGAGTCTTGTCCCCGTCTGCTCAGGCTCCTGGCCAGATCCCCGCGCAGCCGCAGAGCACCCGCCGCCGCCCCCCCCCTGTAGACCATGTTCAACCAGCAGGACCACCTGAAGGCGCACCTGCCGGAGGGCCTGCCGGCCGGCCGCCAGCTCTTCCGCTGCCAGGACTGTGGGAAGCAGTACAACACCCAGCTGGGCTACCGCCGCCACCTGGTGGCGTCCCACAGCGCCGCCGCCGCCGCCGCCACGGGCCTGTCCTGCCCCGAGGAGCCCCCGTCCCTCCTGGAGACGCTGGGGGAGCACGGCGAGCGCCCCCCGCCCGCGGAGGGCGGCGCCGGCGTGGCGGTGCGGGAGCGGAAGTACTCGTGCGAGCGCTGCGACCGGCGCTTCTACACGCGCAAGGACGTGCGGCGCCACGCCGTGGTGCACACGGGCCGGCGGGACTTCCTGTGCCCGCGCTGCGCCCAGCGCTTCGGCCGCCGCGACCACCTGACCCGCCACCTGAAGAAGAGCCACGCCCAGGAGGCGGGGCTGGTGTCGCCCTGCGGGCCCAGCCCGCCGGTGGCCGCCCACTGCCCCGTGAAGGAGGAGCCCAGCCCCGCCGGCCCCGAGATGGCGCCCGTCTCCAAGGAGCCCATGGAGGCCTTCGGCCGGGACGGGGGCGCCTCCTACCCGCTGGCCAGCCCCGTCTCCGGGATGGCCCCCCCCCACGGCCTCATGCAGGGCTCCCTGTCCTCCGGCATGGGCATGGGGCACCACATGTCCCCGCAGCCCTCCCCCCACCACCACCACCACCACCACCACCCCCCCCACCACAACATGCAGCCCCCGGCCGCCGCCCTGCAGCAGCCCTACGCCAACGTGTCCCGCTACCAGCACGGCTCTACCTCGTACCCCCGCTCCGACGTGGACAGCTTCCTGCTGGACCTGCAGAGCGCGCCCCCCCCTCCGCTCGGCTCGGTGGGCTCCTCGGGCTCCCCTCAGAGGGAGGTCCTGGGGGAGGGCGTGGGGAGCCCGGAGCTGTCCTGCACCACGAACATGGACCTGGGCCCCCTGCTGAGCTTCCTGCCGTTCAGCCTGCCCCCCTACAACCCTCACATGGGGATGGGGGGCCTGGTGATGAGCTACCCGCCGGCCGCCGCCTCCACCGCCGCCACCTCCCCCCCCCCCTCCGCGGGGCTGTCTTCCCAGGCGGCGGGGCCCTTCTCCTTCTTCCAGCCCCCGCAGCCCCACGTGCCGCAGGGCCCCGCGGGCCACAGCCACAGCCAGCTACCTCAGGCCTACAGTCCTGCTATGAGCACTTCCAGCTCCCTACCTCACTACTACCAGGCCTTTCAGCAGTGAGCGGCCCCCCCTCTCAGCCCTGCTGCCCAGTGTGCCCGCGCCCCCCCACCAAGGCGCTAAAGCACCGGACGCGTGGAACACACCACCTCATCAGTATTACCTCATAATTTAAGAAGTGACTGAATGTTTTAGGAGCCCTCGACGGCCTCCTAACCAAATGAGCTCTCTCCTTCAGACCTGTTGGTGGACCCCGGACTCGTCACAGCTGCCCAATGCTGAAAGCCCCCCCAGACCCCGGCTCCTCCCCCCACAGAGGCCCTTATTGTGAAGGTGAGACGGCGTTCCCCGTTAAGCATCGCGGGCCTTAGAGCCTCGGCCAGATGTGTTTGGCATGTTCTGTCCTCCACATCTGGATGCTGAACCCAGACGGCCTGACGCGGGCGGGGGTCCGCCTCACGGGGGTTAGAAACCAAACTGAAACGCACCGCGGCCCGTCGTCTACTGCTGCAAACGGAGCCTCTCTTATTCTGACGGCGGGCCAATCTCAGGACGAGTGTCAGCTCTGGCTGCGGGTGGCCAGAGGAGGGGGACCCCCGGGAGCCCCCCGGCCCCGCCCAGGGGTTCAGGGGCCCCGTGCGCCGGGCTGTGCTGGACGTGGCGTGTGTTGTCGGTGCGTGGAGCTCTGCCCGTGTGGCCGGCCTCTGCCCGGGGGCTCCAGGGAGACCCTAACCCTAACCCTCAGACCGGGCGGGTGACCTGGTGCCACCGTTAGCGCGGAGTGGACAGAGCAGAGAGCACTTACCTCCCACTCCGGTCAGGATCTGCTCCGCCGGCGTACTGAAGGAAATCTGCCACGTCCCCAGCCCCTTCCGCCCACCTGAGGCCTTTTGTCGCGTCTAGGTCCAGTTCTGGCTCCAGTTTCTCCGCGGTGGGCCGAGCCGGGGGGGGTGGGGGGTCTAACGTGTCCGAACGGGGCCTCAGCTAATGCTGACCCTGCTACACCAGCCTGTCCCTTCACACCCGTTCCCAGTCGGAGTCCTGATCCCACGTTGTGCCTGGCCGGTGGGGCCGGCGTCCATCCGCGTGCCTCCAGAGCCTGGTTCTCTGACCGGCGGCCCCTCGGCGCCCCCCCGGCTCCGCCCGTGCCTTTGCTAAAGCTGCGTGAGCTGGGGGGCTGGCCCGGGGGCCCCGCCGGAATCAAAGCTAAAAGTGCCTGTTACTCCCTCAGTTCTTCCCAAACCGTGCGCCTGCGAGCGGGACTCTGTGGAGCTCCTGTCCCAACGGCAGATCCCCCCCCCCCCCCCCCCCGCCCCCCCCGCGCCCCCCTTCCGCAGTGTTACGGTGCCTCGTGGAACAATATGGATTCTTAAGGCCCTTCCTCACAATGCAGAGGGTCGCGCCGTGCGGCTGACCGCCTGAGAGCGGCTGACCGCCTGAGAGCGGCTGACCGCCTGAGAGCGGCCTCCACGGACTCCTCGGTGAAGGACTTATTTTGTCGACATTGTAAGGAGTGTCAAAAGTGTTGCACCGATGTCTTAAAATGCTACTGTTGTGCCTCTCTAAGAGCGTCCACTCTCTGGACTGAGCTGAAGCACTTACCATTTCTAAAAGAATGAATTTGACCTGTACCTCGCCAACACAAGGAATTGTGGCTTTGGCTTTTATTTACATTTGCCTTTCGGTATTGTGGCATTTTTCAGAGCTCCCCCCCCGCCCCCCCCCCCCCCCCCCCCCCCCCCTCGGCTGCCCCCTGTTGTCACTCGAACTTTGCCGGCGGTGGCGTGTGTGTGTGTGTGGGCGCGCGTGCGTGTGTGTGTGTGTGTGTGTGTGTGTGTGTAAGTGTGTAAGTATACATATGAATACACCTGCCCATTCGTTTGGAGTGTGCTCATCTATACATATCTGTCTCCATGGACCAACATGGACACATTTATGTAGGCGTTACTATCTGTGAAAATCTGTGAGGCTCTAATTAAAACTGTCTACCTCGACCACGTCATATATTTTTATGCAAAAAAAACAAAAATATCCCCGGCAGTTTTTTCGGAGGCCACGTCGGCCGTTCGTACCGAACCAGCCAAAAGCCCACCGGTCTCCCCCCGGGCCGGTCTCTGTGCTGAGGCCTGCGGACTCTGACCTGGGGGGGCGGGGGGGGGACCGCTCTCCCCGCCCCCCCTTGCTCTGGTGACAGCCTCACCCCCCCCTGCCCCCCCCCCCCCCTCGCCTTCAGGAGGCCGCGCTTCCACGTCTCTTCAAAAAGGGCCCGGGGGGGCAGTGGAGGCCCCCAGCAGAGCTCCCCCCCCCCCACCCCTCCCCCCTCCTGTCACAGGCCCACGTGTCTGTGACGTAACGTGGACCTGCAGTTTGGACCTGTCATCAAAACATCACAAAGAAACCGTTTGCCCCACCAGTCCCATTTTTTGCTTTGTCTTTTTTTTTTTTGGGGGGGGGGGTTTTTTTTTTTTTTTTTAAAAAAAAAAAAAAAAAAAAAACTCACTGCATGAGTTTTTGTTCCTACTTTTGACTGGTACCTTTTTATGGAAGAAGCAGACACAGCTCATTTATACTGGTAGAATACTTTGTTCTGTATACTCTCTTTTTAATCCCATTTCTACTTATTTACTACCTCAGAAGAGACAGGAGACTGTCCACCTAACTACAGAGGAATATCTGTGTAGAGTTTTATTTTTGTCAGAACAAGCACGAGTAGTGTGTAGACCCATAGTTGTTTATTTTTTATTGAGGTAAGCTCGTATCTGAATAATGCTGAACGCGTCAGTGAACACTGCTATGTACTGTTAGTTAGGACTGTTGTGCCTCTTCGTCTTCAGTCCCGCACTGCTCATGGTGTCAGCCTCAGATTGACCCTGATATCAGGAGTTACCGACCCCATCGGGGACCGCTCTTCTCTAAGCCACACTTTAGCTGTGTCTGATTTATGCTGCATATTCCAGAAGGATGACAACACTATTCAAAGCGTTTTATTCAGACACTTTGGGACCTGGGTCCCAGTTCAATTTTTCCTCTTCTTCTTTCCCTTAAACTGGGACAGCTTCCGTTTCTGAGCCCTGAGCATCCACTTTAGTTGTAAACTAACTGAGAATGCGGGCAGGTTTTCAGTGAGGTGAAGCCCGTTGGCCACTTGGAGACGCTCCACATCGTTCGAGGCACTTTGGACTGCAAACAGAGGCACAACAGGACCCAAACCGGTCTCCATGTCATTAGCTATCGAGCACTGTTGCCGGCGTTCCGGCGGCTCACAGAACCGCCGGAACGCCGGTCTGACCACCCTTTACCTTAGACAGGTTTTGCTTTAGGAATTTGTATTATTCAGTAGACTAGAAGGCGGTGAAGAACAGGATGTGTCTTTTTCTCTCGCTGTCAGATGATTTAAGTAAAACAAAAAATAAATAAAAGTTTTAGATTTACTCTGCGTGGCTGTGATTTCCTATAAACTCCCGACAACGACCTGAAGATTTGACAAAGATAAAGCTTGTGACAGAGATAAAGCTCTGTGACAACGTGTGGTTATTCACAGACTGTACTTTGAGGACAATAGATTTCAATCACACCCAAAACAGCGTTTATGGGTGTACAGCTGTACGGGGGTTGAAACTGCTGGGTAAGAGTGGGCCCTCATTAGGAAGTTTTGATATTTAAAAGTGTATTTAACAACAGTATAAAGAAATAGTAGTATTTCAGATCTAATGGAGACATACTGGAGCAGCAAAAATGAGGCTTCTTCACATATATGGTAGATGACCTAATGCGTGTTGGAAAAGATTTCTGGAGACTATTTAGAAATAGTCCATCATCAAGAGAGGCTCTATGAGAATTAAACCTCCCTTGAAAAAGCTCATTTGTTTGCCACAGTCAGAGAACCATTCTACTTGCAATTATGATGGACAGAAAAAGGAGAAAACAGAATATCAGCCCCTCACTTTCAGTTTAGGATGAATTCTGCTGTTATTGATGTCATATTTTTCCATGAATCTTTGGCAGATTCCAAACCCATAAGGTGTTATAGTAGGGCACGTGATATAATCCCCTCCATTCCCTACTCATCATCAGCTGATTGTTCTCTGCGGGATGAACAAAAGTAGAAAAATATTCAACCATTTATATTACACTCCATCAAGTTAGGAGCAGGTTTTGACATGTGAGTTCCGCCTCCCACCGTGCGGGGGCGCTGGTGCCCCATGGTGGGATGGAGCCACAGACAAATGGCTGTATGTGTCTAATGGACGGAGCCGGGAAGAAGAAAAGCCGGAAACGGCGGCAGGTCCTCCTGAACGTAGAGGGCAGCAGTGCGCCGTCGTGGCCCGGGAACAGAGGGAACGCGGAAATGTCAAGACAATTGTCTGCGTAGAAATGTCTTCACGCTGGGAATAGAATAGCAAAAGAATGGCTTCGTCCGTTTCACCGGTGAATTCCCATAAATCCGCGCCGTGACAGCGCCACCAGGGCAGCCCTTACAGCCCGCGCCCCTCCAACCCGCACGGACACGGACCGGCCCCACTCGGTGCGCACTAACCTTGATAGCTTCTTAGTACAGATTTTGACACCAGGGGAGCCAGGATGCTGGATAATTGTCCTTAAGAGAGGACTGTCATCCACGGTGAGTGGGAAAGCCCGACCGGTCTGGTCCAGGTCTGGTGTGTAGTCTAGGTTTAAGTCGAGGACGAGCTAGCTTGTATTTTAGCACCGCTTTATCGCCATTCGCGGCGTTGTTGTCAACCAGTACCAACAAAAAACAATTAACGATGACACCAGGGTCGTCTTAGTCGTTTCAGACCGTCTGGTTACCCTAACAATGACTAGCTGACATCTTAGTTGGGTGCTTAATGCCAAGCTAACGTCCAAGGCGCCGCCTTTAATCG